GTCAGACAGGGCAAGATATGACAAAATAGTAATTTATAAATTATCAAGGACTCATGAGGGAGGGAGAAGGAAAAATGAGGACCTAATGCCAGGGGCTTAAGTGGAGAACAAATGTTTTGAGAATGATGAGGGCAATATATATACAAATGTGCTTTACACAATTGATGTATGTATGGATTGTGATAAGAGTTGTATGAGCCCCTAGTACAAAGATTTTAAAAAATTATTTAAAAGATTTGTATGTACTCTAATAAAATTATTTTTTTAAAAGAACTATGCATGCAGAAATTTTTGAATTGGTGTACTTTCTTCTGTGAATATTCGCAACCACAATAAAATCAGAATGAATTACAAAGAGAAAAAATATATTAGTGGAAAGCTCAGTTAGAGGACTAGAGAAGGAATTACTATGCATTCAGGAATCCCAGCCCATAGCATGCAGCAGGATTGATGAATGTAGAACACCTCTGTCACTCAGTTTGTGCTCCTGATGCCTCCACTTTGGGCACTGGCTTGCTCCTCCGTCAGGAGCTAGCATCACTATCATGGCTTCCAGAGGATCTCAACCTCATTTCAACTTTCTCCAATACATATTTCACCTCTTGATTTGTCATTCTGAGAGCGTACGTATGAAAGACAAGAGTGTCAGCCACAGCTGTGTCATAGTTGCAAAAGAAGCTAGGGAAGACCCAGGTTATGAGTTGGGTTACTAACTTCCTGGACAGCAGTTCGAAACCACCAGCCACTCTAAGGGAGAATGATGGGGCATTCTGCTCCTGTAAAGATTTGCAGTGTCAGGAGACCAGAGGGATGAGTTTTATTTTGTCTTATAAGGTCTCTGTGACTTGAAATCCATTTGATGGCAGTGAGACAATAAGAGAGGAGCTGTATTAACCATGTGACTTCCAACAATGTAGGAATATTCCTGGTCTGAAGGGTACCTGTCTTATAATATGCACATAATAAGATATACTAGGCAGATGATATGAAAGGTAAAGAGAAACAGCTAGGCCAGGATGCAGTGCTAATGGGAATTTAAATTCAGATCGACTTTATAGAGCCAGTTTGACAGTGTACATCAAAAAGCATGAAGACCTTGGATGCAGCCATCCAATTTATAAAACACAATCCCAACAAGTAAGTCAATGTAGAGGAGCTTGTGATGGCTCCCCACCATATTCCTACTCAGAAATCTAGGCTTAGTCCTTTAATTATGGGCAGAAGTGCCCTCAGATACCTTTTCTCCCTCTTGGAAAACATTTGTATTGATAGTCTTCCTACAGCAGTTCACACATCCTTCCAAAAGCAGTCTGATTCCTGTGATTGGTTGGAAGGAAGGAATAAAAGTTCAACTCAATTTTTTCCCACCCAGCACTAGTCTGCAGGGCCACCCCAACTTCAGAGACCCAGTG